GGAATCAGGATCTCTACGTGCATGGAGTACAATGAACCGTGGGAGCAAATTTCAGGAACATTTGGAACAGTCCGATTCGAACGAAAGAGCCGTTTTCAGAAGTAGTGTTCGATCGATTACCGTATTAATCAATATTAGATGATTGGTCTTTGAAGTTATCAAACAAAAAGTTTGTCTAAGCCACTTCGTTTCTTTTTGTCCAAATTGCTTTTTTATTTTTGTCTAACTCACTTCCTTTTTTTGTGTGAGTTGAAATATCATTCATAGGTCCGAGATCTACATCTATGAAATGAAAGGTCCGAATAGTCAACTCTGCAAATCAATTGTTAGAATCAATAGGTCTTCAAATTGTTCATTTGAAAAAGTGAAACCCTTCTTATTGGACGATCATGATACTTCCCAAAAATCAGGAAATTCTTGATCAATGGAGGAACAATATCCACCATTTTTTGTTCCAATAAGATACCAAAGTGGATGATTGACTCATTCATACTGAGAAATAATCGCAGGAAATCCTTTGATAACCCGGATTCCTATTTCTCAATGATATTCCACGATCAAGACAATTGGCTGAATCCCGTGAAACCATTTCATAGAAGTTCATTGATATCTTCTTTTTATAAAGCAAATCGACTTCGATTCTTGAATAATCCACATCACTTCTGCTTCTATTGGAACACAAGATTCCCCTTTTCTGTGGAAAAAGGCCCGTATCAATAATTCTGATTTACGTATGGACAATTCCTCAATATCTTTTCATTCGCAACAAATATTTTCTTTGTGCTTCGGTAAAAAAAAACATGCTGGGGGGAGATACTATTTCAATCCCGAGTCACAGGTATCTAACATATTCATACCTGATTTTCCACAAAGTGGTGACGAGGCGTATAACTTGTACAAATCTTTCCATTTTCAAAGTGATCCGTTCGTAGAGCTATTTACTCGATCGCAGACATTTCTGGAACACCTCTAACAGAGGGCAAATAGTCAATTTTGAAGAACTTATTGTCAGCCTCTTTCAGATATGAATCTATCTAATTCATAAGGAAGAACACGTCAGTATCTCAGTTTCAATTCAAACATGGGTTTGATTCCACTCCATATTCTGAGAAAGATTTATCATCCGAAAAGAGGAAAAAACGGAGTCTTTGTCTAAAGAAATGCGTTGAGAAAGGGCAGACTGTATGAACCTTTCAACTGAGATGGTGTTTTTCAACTCTCTCAAAAATGGAATCTATTCCCAAACATATAATGCCATAGTTCTAACACTTCGACAGGGTACAAATATCTAAATTTGATATTTTTAGATACTTTCAGACCTATTGCCAATACTAAGTAGCAGTCAAAAATTTGTATCCATTTTTCCTGATATTATGCATGGATCAAGGTATATCATGTGATGAAAATTCTGTCTTCCACAATGGAATCTGATAAGTGAGATCAGTAAGTGTTTACATAATCTTCTTCTGTCCGAGAGGATTCATCGAAATAATGAGTCACCATTTGATATCGACACATCTAGAGATCGCCAAATGTAGGGTTCCTCTATTCAATCCTTTTCCTTCTTCTTGTTGTGGATGTCTCGTTCTGTACCACATCTTCTCTTTGTTTCCCGGGCCTCTAGTGAGCTACAGACAGAGTTCGAAAGGTCAAATCATGATGATTCCATCATCTATGATTGAGTTGTAGCTTCTGGATAGGTATCCTACTATCTGAACCGAATTCTTTCTGGTTAAAGAATCTCTTTCTAGTTATGGAACAATTAGGAGATTCTCTAGAAAAGAAATACGGGGTTCTGCTTCTGGCGGCAACATGCTTGGTCCCTTATGGGGTCAAATCAATACGTTCTAAGAAGAAAGATTGGAATATCAATCTCATCGAGATCATCAATCTCATACCAAATCCACATCAATCGAATACTTTTTCGAGAAATACGAGACATCTAAGGTACATACAGTAAAGATCTATTCAGTGATAAGAAAAGAAAAAACGTGACAGGGATTGGTTTGATGATAAAATAGAATCCTGGGTCGCGAACAGTGATTCGATTGATGATAGAAGAAAGAATTCTTGGTTCAGTTCCCACCTTAACGACAGAAAATAGGATTGATCAAATTATTGAGTCGGCTCATAGTGATCATTTATCAAAGAATGACTCTGGTTATCAAATGATTGAACAACCGGGAGCAATTTACTTACGATACTTAGTTGACATTCCCTTAAAAAGCATCTAATGAATTATGAGTTCAATCCATCCTGTTTAGCAGAAAGACGGATATTCCTTGTGTTTATCAGACAATCACTTATTCACAAACTTCGTGTGGGAAAATAGTTTTCATTTCCCATCTCATGGAAAACCCTTTTCGCTCCGCTTAGCCTTATCCCCCTCTAGGGGTATTTTGAAGTGATAGGTTATATAGGAACTGGACAATCCTATTTGGTCAAATACTGCGACAAACTCCTATGTTCCTTTCATTGCAGTATTTCTGAACAAGTTCCT